AGTGCTTTCTGCAGGGGAATCACTTCCCCATGCATGCAGCCACCTCAGGGCTGGAACACAGCAGCTGTCTAACAGTGCATAGGAACACTGTGCCAAAGTTCAGAACAGAGCAAGACCAGGGTCTGGATGCATATAGCAGCTTTATGCTGGGGCTTGCAGTTAAGATGAGAAAGGACTGCAAATGATAAACCTTTCAACCATTGTAATGAAAAATACCCTCTGGGCTGATTTAATATTTGGTCTCATTCCAAAGCAGTGGATGCATGTGGCAATGTGGCAAATATTCCTTTGTTTGAGTTCCTGGACGTGGAGAGAGAAAAGAGGGTCTCGGGGTCCCACCAAGGTGCAGAAGATCTGGTGTCAGCCCTTTGCTCTGCTGGTGACGCACTGGAGAGAGCTGGGGGAGTCGCTGCGTCACAGTTCCCCATCTGTGAAATGGGGATAATGAAAGTTTCTTCCACCCTTCACTGGTAGATCATAAGCTGTGGAAACTGTCCCCTAGGACAGCGGGTTTCAAACTTTTCTTCTCATCACCCAGTTGAAGAAAATCATTGATGCCACGACCCAAAATAATTTGACTGGAGTGTGGGCTTCAGGGCGGGGCTGAGGATGGGAGCTTTGGGCTGTAGGAGGGGGCTCTGGCTTTGCGGGGGCAGGTCTGGGGCAGGAGGGGCTTCCCTTGAGCGGCTCCCAGTCAGCTTCCTCCTACACTGCCAGGGCAGAGCCCCAGGCCTGGCAGGGCAAAGGCTGACCCCCAACAAGTGGAGAAGTCTTGTTGCTTGGCAACAATGCATTAGCCCTTAGTTCCTTCATGGGATTCCAGGGAAGGCCTCTCCGGCTGCCCAAGGATTGCTGGCTGCCTCCCGCCCTGGTGGGAATTCCCTGCCCTGGGCTGGTCTGACTCTCCTTTGGCAACAAACCAGGAGGATCCGTGACCAGGAGCTTGTGGGATGGCAGCACAGGTCTAGGGCCAGCCTGCAGCCCCGTTCCCTCTGGCTGAGAGGGAAACCCAGCTCCCTGCTACTCTCCGGCTCTGCCCGTAACAACTAGCTCAGCCCCTTTACCTGGGGGCTGCAGTTTTGCCTGGGCTATTTCCCACCTTGTGGCTTCTTGCTGCCCCTCTGGCCCCCTGATCTAGTTCCGGCCAGCTGTTATGCCACATCATCACCCTTGATTGGGAGCTCTCTGGGGCAGGGACTGTTCCCTTTTTCTTTTTTTATACAGCACCTAGGTCTTTGGGGCAGGGGTCTGGCTATGTCTGTACAGCGCCTAGCACTGCGGGATTCTGTTCTGTCACTCTCAGCTCCTAACATGGTACAGTCGAACCTCCCTAGTCCAGCACCTTGGGATGTGGCTGGTGCCGAACCAGAGGATTTGCTGGACCACAGGAGGTCAATAGTGTCTAGTCACAGAGACAGATTGTACAGTTTATTCTACTAGCTGGCTCTCTGCACTCAGAGTGTCAGAGTGGGGAATTGAGCTGTGACACATGCACAAGGTGCTTGCAGTGGCATGGAATTGGTTTGGTGAGCTACACCCCGAAGGCAACCAAGCTCCATGCCCCAGAGGAAGGGGAAAATTAGTGAGTAACAAAACAGCACTGGATTCGGGATAAAGTCACAAGGGTTTGCACCACTCTGAATAACTGCGGAGCCATAAATAAGCAGCCTGGCACCATTGCTTGGCAACCTAGTTTATTGAAAATAGCAGATAAAACTGAATACTTTTCAATAAATTTTTCATTACAATGTGCATTCTGCATCATATTTTTAAACTCTGGCAAGTAAACAGATAAAACAAACAAAACAAAAACGCACCATAAGTTTTAATTAAATTAAAAGAAACCTAAAACCTCCTCTTTTTTTTAAAGAATGATCACGCTATTAAAAAAATTACAACTTTTAAATATTTACAAACCTGTCTTGACAAAATATTTAAATATTTAAAACCGTTTTACAAAATGACAGTATTGCAGGTTACATTTACTGGATTATACTTTTTTTTTTTTAAACTAAAATAATGTAACCGAAAACCAACGGTAACCTAGACATGAATGCAAAGAGGTTTCCGGATCAGCAAAGCAGATACGCTGGGTTACTGGGCTAAGAGTCAGCTATGGATCAAGCTAGCAGATGTTCAGTTAGGCCCTAAGGTGACGAAAGGTCTGATTGTCTGTTATGTGCTGGAAACGGGATTGTCCGAGTGATGCTTCTAAAGAGGCAGATGATTTTGAGGGTCAATCAATTTAATTCCTCTGGAATCCAGACAGTGCAAGGTTCAAAAGTGCTTAGGAAATTGGGGTGTTTGTTACAAATCGGGGGTGAATTGCCCTTAAAGACTCAGGCTTTAGAATTTAAAAGATATTCTAGGTGCCAAACTCCTGTTGGTTTCAAAGGGAGTTAGGTGCCTTTCAGCTTCCAATGGATGCTCAGGATCTTCTGGAAATCAGGTCTTCAGCAGCATGGCTACCCTCAGGCCCAACCCTAGGTCAAAAACCTGCGGGCAGCAACAGGGGATGGGCTTCCCAAACCCTACTTAGTTTGTCATTAGACCAGGTGCCCTGCAGAGGCTGCCTGACAAGAGCAGACAGGCAGGATGTACCACAGCAGATGTGCAATGGCTGCAAATGGGAAAGAGGCAGGATTCGAACCCAGAACGCCTCACTTCCCGGCAGCGGATGGGGTTGTGTCTTCTACCCTTCACGAGGCGAATGCTGTAATTGTCAATTGATCTCAGAGCCGATTCAAAACCAAATCCATTTGGCAAAGAGGTTAGACGTTAGACAGTAACACGGTGCGGCTGGGCACTAGCTTCACTTAAAACCAGGCCAATTTTTAAAATAAAACAAAATGGCTTTTGGCCAATATAAATGGTTTCCATTTTGGTCAAAAAATGTCAGCGATTTGCCTAAAAAAAAAATCAACATTTTCCCTTTTTGTGTTGTTGAAAACAGATAATTTTTAACAGACACATTTATGGGTGTTTTTCAGTTAGAGCGGGGCTGGTTTTTCTGCCAAAAAATGGACACATTTTGATCAGAAACTTTGGAGAGAAGGGGGGAGATTTTCTGCGGCTGCCACCAATTTCCCACAATAAACAACTGGCATTTTTCAGGCAGCTCTAATTTGGCGGCAAGCATCAGCATTTCCGCCGTGAAATCTGTATCTTTGACACAACCGAGCACTCCCCCACAGAACAAGTCACACAACCCGGAGCCCGTGCAAGTTCCCCATCGTTAATTCGGCCTTTGTTAGACTCGCACCTGGTCTAGTGACAAACTAAGTGCCACCTTCCTTCCTAAAGCTCTCGCTGAATAATCGTGAAAGAGCAGTTGAGAAGAGACGGCTCATTAAGCCAATTGTTTTGGGACTGGAGCCCAGCAAAGAATTCTGTACCTGCTAAAGCGATGTCCTTCCTTCTCCTTGGATTTTCATGCAAGATGGTGCCACATCGGCTCAAACAGCAGCAAATGCCGGCCAGGTAAATGTAAAGAGCCAGCCCATGGCCAGGAGGTAGGAGATAAGATGAAATAAAGGGAAAAAGGCTGAGGACAGATCTGTCAGGCTGGGGGGACGGGAGGGGGAGGGGGAGTGAGATCAATTGCTAGGGACACTTAGCTCTTTGCTTAACAAACATTTCAGGCCTGTTACATGTGACACAGCTGGGTTATTGGAGTTGGGGGCTGAATGGAGCCGCTCTGGATCTGACCGCCAAAGTCCCTCCATTGCCTAAACTGAAGAATACACGCTCCAGAACGGCCAGGCTGCTGCAATCTCATAAGTATCTAGCCCAGCAATGGGCAACCACGACTAAGGCATAGGCCTCCTCCATCTCAGTGGGCTGTAAGATTGTCGGAACCGAGACAGTCTCCCTGGACAGAATGGTTTTGCTCCCAGTGCTTGCGGACCTAGAATTTGCAGGAGGTGCCGATGGAACTGTAGCCGCGCTTTGATTGGCTGCAGAGGGAGCGCCTGGCTCTCACAGTCAGTGCTGGGTGCAATCTGCCCGCCCCTCCCTGCACCTGGTTTTACGTGTGTGTGTGTGTGACGGCGTGTTGGGGGTCCCCCGTCTCCTGCACCCCGAAATGGCACAAACAGACTGCACCAGCCGGTGAAATAGAGGAAGTTTATTGCCTCTCCAGGATACAGCACAGCACAGATGGAATCTGGTCCCAGAGCTGGGCTAGGCTGCCTCAGGCCTCCTTGAGATGGGGGAGACTGGGCCCCTAAACTCCAGCCCCTTTCCCTAGGCTGTCTCCTCCATGCTCCCAGCCTGCCACTAACCAACACTCTTCCAGCCCTGCCCCCCAGCCAGGGCAGCATTCCACCTTCCTTTGTTCCTCTCCATGGGGGGTGTCTGGCCATACTGGTTTGCATAGTGACTCATCCTGTTTTGCTGGGTCGTGGTACCCACAGCAGCCAGTGGGGGTTACCCCAGAGCCAGCAGCATAGAAACCAGCCAGGTACCCCCACTACGTCACAGTGTGTCACTTTAATTACACCAGTAGGAAAACACCCTACGTGGCTGGAAACCCTGTACACACAGAACCCCGATGGGCGACATGCGGCTCTCAGGCTGCAGGCTGGCCACCACTGGTCTAGCCCTTCGGCAGGACAGAGAGAGGCGCGGCATTAATGCCGGCCGTACATCAATTTAAGAGCACAGCCCCACCATGGGCGAAGATGGGACCCAGCAAATCTTTTCCCGTCTTTCACTTTTCTAGATGGGCAAAGCGCTTCGAACAGGACAAAGGAGTCACATGAATAGGGCAGATGCTGGGGTGGCAAACTGGAGAGGAACAGGCAGCTATGCCGAGATTAACTCAGTTTCTGGTCTACACCAGGGAGTTATTTCGAAATAATAAGCGGAGCGTCCACACTACCAAACCCGTTATTTTTTTAAATAAGGGGCCGGTTATTTCGAAATCTGCACACCTGCTTGCCTCAGGGAATAACGCTCATTTTGAAATAGATATTTCAAAATAGCGGGAGTGTGGACGCTCTGCTGCTGCTCTTTCAAAATAACGACTCCCCAGAGTCATTCGAAGTAATTACTCCCCATTGCTTCCTGGGGTTCTACGTCTGAGGTAGCGCGGCCATAACAATGGAGCCTGCCTCGGACTAATTTTGAGGCTTCCCCACAGTGGGGACAGGCTATTTCGATTGTATTTGGGCAGTTGTTATTTCCAAATCATTTCCTAGTGTAGACGTGCCCTGAAGGACGTAAAAAAGCCAAAGGCAGGTGTGGCTGAAGCTGACCAGCATGAGCAGGGCCAGGTCATGGTAGGAAGATGCTTCCTGGAGTTGGTGTGAGCATCCGCACTAGCCCCAGGCGGCGCTCGCTGGCTTACTTACTGCAGAGATGAAAGAAATGTGGGGTGTTCTGTTTAGTAAGACAGCTGCTGGATGGGTGTCTGGAGACGGCAGAGACAGGGAATTAGACCAGGGGAGGGGGGAATATAAAGGGACTTTTCCGTTTGGAAAGTGGAAATAGAGAATCCATTTCGGGTTGGACCAAAGCCAAAAACGTTCAGCCTGTCAAAAAGTTTATAAAAGACGTTCCAGGCTGACCACAAATGGCAGTGGGACTAAGTGCTGTGGGGCAACGAAGGGCCCGATCCTCTGCCAGCCGGTCCCTTGAGCCTGAGTCTTTGCTGCCCTTTGTTGGAGGGGCCCAACGCCAAGGTCCTTCCGTGGGTGCTGCCTCACAGCATTCGTGTGCCACGGACAAGCTTAGACAAGGAGCATGGGGTTTGATCCTGCAAACACTTACCAATGCTTCACTTTACAGAGCAATCCCATTGCCGTGATATCGCCAGGACCTCCTGGGGCCTTGAAGTGACACGGGGGCTTGCATGATCTACTTGCTTGATCCAAAGACGGCTGAAGCCAACGGATGGGCGCCCATCATGGTGACTGTGCTTCTGAATCCAGCCGTGCAAACCCCCAGCTAGTTCAACCCAAATTGCTTTATACCCCCCCCGGGGAGGGGCAACAGCTCTTTTAGAAAAAGGAGATTTAGAAAATCATTCCCCTTGTAAACAACTGTCAGCTCCTGCTCACTAAAAGCTCCGTACTTAAGAAAATTAGAATTTGTTGCTTTCCAAAAATAGCCTCAACGGTAAAACCAGCCTTTTATTATATTAACTTTATACAATATATATATATTTTACTGTGAGTAAAAACATGTTGGGTTTAAAACCCTGAGAATTTTATGGGAAGGTGGATTCTTCCCAGCAGGGGGCAGCAGAGTGCACACCCACTACTTTTCGACCAAGCCACAATTTCTTGTCGATTCCTGGACGTTAATAAGGAATACAAGAACTTGGGCCAGGGACGTGTGTGTGTGTCTCCCTTGGTGCTGCAGGACAGATGTAAAGGCAGACGTTTAAAAATAGACTTCTATGTTATGTACAACTATTATTTTGAAACAGCTTGGTTAAAAATTCTCCTGCCACAAATCTGTAAGGTGACCAAAAAAGAGAAATAAAAAAATGAGGTATTTGAACTACCCGGGCCCGGCGCTAGAGTCTAGTCACTGGAGTAATACGGTGGGCAGCATGTTTTCATCGGCCCCGAATATATTACAGCAAAAGCTAGTGATCCCCATGGTCTCCATCGCCCTGGGGTCTCGGGGCACCTCCCCAATAATACTTTGCGCATCTGTAGCACCTGCCAGTGGAGACTCTCAAAATGCTTCACCGGGTTATTTAAGCATCACGCCACCCTTAGGGAGTGGGGGTGGTGTCTCCCTCCCCCTGCACTGCCGCGAGAGGAAGCAGGCCCAGAGAAAGGAGCAGTGCTGCTCAAGTTGGTGGTCTAGACAAGCACGGAGTCCTGGCTCCCAGCTGTTTGCTCTGATGCGCCGGCCACATCCCTCCACCGTGCTACATGGGAAAGAGGAGGAAGGGGGCGGGTTCCAATGAGGTCCAACCCTCCCCGTGACCTCCCCTCAGGGAGCAGGAGATGTGACAGACCGGGGCGAGGCGGCAGACGGTCTCTGGGCGCCAGCCGCCCGTGGGGATCATTCTGCCGCTGCTCCCTGGAGCTCGCACTCGGAGCTGAAGAGCTCTTTGTAGAGCGGGGGGAACACGGCGTGGACGATGATGGGGTACATCTGCCGGAAGGACCGCAGCTTCTCCATGTGCTGGTAACACAGACTGCGCAGTTTCCCTTTGGGCGGCAGCTAGAGGGGAGAGAGGCGTGCGGTGTAAACACTGATCTCTAGGCACAGACTGCCCCCCCCCCGCCGCCCCACAGGGCAAACCAGCTCCACAGCCAGCCAAGGGCCTGGGGGGCCCAGAGCTGCTCGGTGGGGGAAACGAGTGCAGAAGGTCGCAGCTGGATCAGGGCAGTAACGGGTCTGACAAGGCCCAAGGCGTCTGTGAGCTCTTGTGATGATGCCGAACACGTCTGAGGGTGCGTGTGCACACACACGCGTGTATATGCGGGCGCACTCTGCTGCCCCCTGATGGTCTGTGAGCATGAGCCCACTTTCGGAACCCTCCACCTACTGGTCTTCTAAGGAATGTTTGCATAATTACCCAGAATCCTCTAGGGAAAGTCCCGACTGTCCAACCTGAGTGTACTGTCTGCTTGGTGCACATTTCCTGCCTTGGTGACCCAGCTCTCGATATGCACTGGGCATGTGTATCCAGCTACAGCCCCTCCCCCCCAGCGTTAATAAGAGCCATGTGATGAAAGCACAAGGCTTTGCTTCTGAGTTTCTCCTTCCAGCACAGAAGCATTGGGAGCTCACTAGCCCCAGAGATGGGACCCAGTAAAGAGACCCAAACACAGGCCCTCAAGCAGGGGTGTCTGAATAGAGGGGGCGAGAGCCCCCCCACTTTTAAAAGAGGGGAAGGCTTAGCCCTCCCACTTTTTACTGGCCATAAGGGTGAATAGGGGTGGGGGGTGCTAAGAGCAAGCT